CGAAGCTACTAGTAGCGTCCTTGCTCCTAGTAGCTTCTTGTTCCTAGTAGTAAGGCCAGGAGCCCCTAGTAGCTTCTTGTTCCTAGTAGCGATGCCCTTTGCTCCTAGTAGCTTCTTGCTCCTACTAGTAATGCACGAAGCTACTAGTAGCGTCCTTGCTCCTAGTAGCTTCTTGTTCCTAGTAGTAAGGCCAGTGAGCCCCTAGTAGCTTTTCTTGTTCCTAGTAGCGATGCCCTTTGCTACTGGTGGTGTTGTTATATTTTTTTCCGTCTAAGATGCGATCCTACGAACATGAGTTGACTCGGCCGAGCCGCAAGGCAGACCACGCAGCATCGGCCGCATCCAAGAGCTGCAAACCTTCGAAACTGTCAGTCCTCAGCAGCGCCGCAGTTCGCGACGCAGTTCGCGACCCAGGTGTCGGGTCACGCCGTTCGACGCGTTGGTTGTCTGTTTTCTCGATGACGCAGCGGTTTTGGGTGCGGGTCGTTGGGAAACTCCTTCTGCTATAGGCTGGAAAACTTTTAAGAACTGAATCTCCCTGGGTCCCTGTCCAGTGGTTGTTGTATCCAAATACGACTTCTCTTGGGAGGGTTTTGATCTTTGGATAGCTTTGGCGGGGGTCTGTGGCAAGGCTTGGCAAAACGAGTTCTGGTTTCGTGACGACAGCTATGGAACATTGTGAAATACACACACGGAGTGTGGTTATACTATGTTATACTTAATCAAACTTCAGAAGGCACTTTGCAATTTCGTGGAACATGACAAAAGGATACAAAAGACCTGCTCGCAAGCACACCATAATATAAAGTTATTTTAAGCCCCACAAGACTCGAAACCCAATTCAGCCATGGCTCTGTGGTACGTCGGACATGGCGAGTCTTCGGTTCAAGTTTCCATCACGAAGCAGGACCTGCTTTCTGAAGAACTGCTAGACTGCCATGAAAGCTTGAGGTGCAAGGCTAGGAGACACATTTCTATAAGTAGAAACACGCAACCTACTAGCGATGGCCTCCAACCTAGAAGCAATGGCTTGTCTCCAACCTAATAGCAATGGTCTCCGACCTAATAGCAATGGCCTCCAACCTAGAAGCAATGGCTTGTCTCCAACCTACTGGCGATGGCCTCCAACCTAATAGCAATGGCCTCCAACCAAGAAGCAATGGCTTGTCTCCAACCTAATAGCAATGGTCTCCAACCTAGAAGCAATGGCCTCCAACCTACTAGCGATGGCCTCCAACCTAAAAGCAATGGCTGGTCTCCAACCTGATAGCAATGGTCTCGAACCTAATAACAATGGCCTCCAACCTAGAAGCAATGGCTTGTCTCCA